GCGGGCGTGGTGGCCCAGGGCAGCGCGCCGCGCGGGTATGAGATGGGGGGAAGCGCGGCCAACTGGCCTCCATTCGGCCGCAGGTTGGAGAAGTAGAAGGAGTCGGGAGACTGCAGATTCAGAAGCGAGCCCACATAGCCCGCTCTGTAAAGACTGCGCTCACACATCTCCAACAAAGGGCTTCGGCTACGCTCGCAGCAGTATTTAGTTACAACCGGGAATAAGAGGACAGGCTCAGACGATTGGACGAAACTTTGCCTGCAGGTTCTTCAAAGCCGGTCATTTCAGCACCGCCTACATCCCCCGACCCGGTTTTCCCCCCCTTCAGGGTATTATGATAACACCCGCAATATTTGATGGTGAAGGACAAGGCTGCCAGGCAGAGCCAAGGCAGGTTGAGGGGAGGCGAGGCCCCTGTGAGTTTCCAGGCCCAGTGCAAGGAGCTGGGGGCATCGGGCATAGGGTGCCTTTGCCCGAGTGTCCCTTGGGACCCTTCTTGGTCTTGATTGGCTTTGCACTGCCGTTTCCTCCGCTTACCTGGGCCAGGCTTGCTTCTCCCAGCTTTAAGCTGCAGCCGAGGCCTTTTCCAGTACCCGGTGACTCTCGGCTTGTCGGAAGATCCTGTGGTCTGGGGCGGCCACCAGCTCTCTCCCTAGGCCTAAGCCATGCTACTCCCAACCCGTTCCACCCCGTCCATCCCGTCTCCCTGGAGAGGACTCTTCACCGGTGACCTGGCAGCGGAGACCCACGCACTGCCGAGTCCTGGGTCCGGGCTGCAGGCACAGTCCCAGAGTTCTGATGATGGAGAAGGGCATCACAGACGCTCCCAACTCTGGCGCCCAGGAAGGAGGCTTCACACCAATCCTGGGTGCTTCCTCTCGGCCAAGCCCTCTGCTCCGGAGGAGGCCCTGGCGGGGCAGCTCGATTGGCCAAGGCTACATTCCTTTTACCGCAAGGAGTCACCTTGGCGACTACATCCCGCAAAGCAGAAGTCCAAGGTGTTTATTCCTCTGTGGCGGGCAGAGCAGGCCGAGCTCCCCCAACCTGGTGAGGAAGGAGAGCGGAGCCAGAGCTACCGGCCAGGAACAGCGGGGCCGGCGGAGGAAGAGGGCCAGCAGCCGCCCTCC